TTAACCTCTGAGCCAGCAGGGAAGCCCAAGATGGGTTGGAGGGTAAATCAACTGCCAATTGTCGATGATCTGATCAACTATGCCCACATAATGAAGTCTCCATGGGTGCGTATGTGCTACGTCGCTTCAGTAGTGTTCAACTCTTTGCAACCCGATGCACTGTAGCCCACCTCTGCCCATGGGATTCTCTAGGCAAGAACACTGAAGTGAGTTGCCATGCCTTCCTCCAGGGGATCTTCCTGATCCAATGATAGAGTTCAGAGAGCTTCGGGGGTTGCTGAATGCCTGGAGATGCTGGGAGAGAGGCGCCTGGTTAAGGTTCCCTGCCTTCCCCATGTCTCAGCTGGATGCCCTGAGTCGTACCCTTTTACAATAAACCAGTGATCTAATAAAGAAATGTTTCTCTTAGTTTTGTGAGATCCTCTAGCAAATTCATTGACCTCGAAGAGGGGTCACTGGAACCTCTGATTTATAGTCAGTCAGAAGTACAGGTAACAACCTGGACTGGTGACTTGCTTCTGAAGTGGGGGTGGAGTGGGCAGTCTTATAGGACTGAACCCATAACCTGAAGAAAACTGACGTTATCTCTGGGCAGACAGTGTCAGAATTGAGTTAAATTCTTGGCCACCCTGCCCTGCTGGTGTCCGAGAATTCATTGGTGTTATGTGGGAAGCAGCCCCAACCCCACCCCCACACATTTGAATTGGGTCCAGGAACTCAAAAGAACACTGCAATCACAGGTTTCTAGAGGGTTAAGAAGTTTAGCGCCTATGTTTTCTTTCTTTTGAGGACAAAGAGTTTCCAAGTCTATCAAGTAATACTTGCTCATTACAAGGACGAGCTTACCTTGCCTTCTTTGAAATCTGTATACTAATTTAATTATTTGCTGGGTATGGAGGGTGAACAAAGGTTGAATTTATAATATATTCTTTGCCTTAGGAAAGCTTGGGACTATCCATTTGTATTTATATAATTATTTATGGTTTAGTATCTTATCAGAAACATTTTACTTTATGAACAATGTTTATAATACTGTCTCCATTTCGATTTTCCCATGATCGTTACAACAATTTGCACTGCAAACACTCTGGTGGCAAGCAACTTTTCAGGAACATACAAAATGAATAAAGCAAGGCACACCTACATTACTAAGTAGCCTGCCTTCAACTATCCAGCTTTAAGCATCTTTATTTAGACCATTCCCTTCATTTGAACTGGGTTGACTTGCTGTCAGATTACAGTGCCAAGTCTAAGAAGAAGTTAAATACCATGGACAGCTGCTTTCTAGGCCAATGACAGCCTAGCACCATAGCAGATCAACAGACCTCAGCAGCCAAGCCAGGCACACGGCAAAACACACCAGATGCCCTGAAAGTCCACAGCTTCACATCCTGCAGGATTCAAATTAATTCCTAACCAGCCACGGACAGGTTTTTAGAAGAGGGTCCCGGTCATTTATAAATAAAAATACACTTAAAAAATTTCTGCTTAGCATAGATATATCAAAACCACAGTCAATGGCCTACTTATTGCAAGTAAAATTATACAAAATAAACTTTCAGGACAGCAAAGGTATGAAGGTTTCCTTGGAGTTTATAATATCTTCCCTGCATATATTCACTGTATATGAAATTAAGCTTATAAATATTATAATATGACAAATATCACATGCCCCTAAGAGAGACAATGGCTTGCATAACTTGATGATTCATTGACATGAACTATAATGTTCAAGAAATATTTTGAAATGCTCAAATTTGAAGTAATTTATTCTGATTCACTTTCCACTTAAGAACAAAAGATGAAAGAAAGGGAATCAACACTTACTGAACAACCCACATTTGCCAAGGACTATGTTAGAATATTCATTTCTTCATTTAACAATTTTTCCAACTTTATGAAGCAGGTGTTATTATTTTCATTTTCCTAATTAGGAAACTGAGGCTCAGTGAGTTTATGTGATTTCTCTGAGGTTACAAGGCTTATTACACACCCGAGTTAAAACCTTTTTTGCCTGAATCAAAGTCCAGGGTCTCTTTACCAAGTCATGACACTAAATGATATGTTTTTAAAGGATGATATTATCACTAAAAGATGTAATAAAAAATCTAATTAAAAAGCCACACACCAGGCGGAATAGTTAAATAAAATGGGAAACTATTTTTTAACTATGAGAAAAATGTTCACATTTTCTATTTTTCCATTCCTCATAGTTGCCCCATCATCAATAATGAAACCAAATGAAGATTTTCAACTTTTTCATGAAGCAAGTAGTTTCATAGATATTTCACTGCCTATAGCTCAGCAGAATTGATGAGTTTCCAGGAAGAACCATGATGACTTGTATAAAAATATCTAAATATGTTTCCTTCACTTTCCCATACTCCCCTGCTCTATAACTGCACAAATAAAACAATGAGGTAGGCTTGCCTAAAAATAGGCTTAGTATTTTGCTTCCTAAATTCTTGTACAGCACATTCCTCTCTATGAAGACTCAATCAAGGAATGTCTTTGGCTTGGGGTCTTTCTCTGAGTGTTCTGATGATGTTAGAAGCACTGACTTAGGTAGGAAAGGAGGGTGGGGTATACAGTCAGAAATCAACTTTTAAGATCACAGAACAACAGCACCAAGCTCAAGGACCCGTCTCTCCTTGAGACATCTGTTCAGTGCTCAGAGCGCAAAATTTCCACAAAACTCTGAAATCAGGCATCTGATAAAGACCAGCTGGTGAAAAAACTTTTTTCCAACAAAATTCAAAAGTGAAATTGGCAAGGTGAAATTTCGTAAAGGAAATCACACATCATTATGTATTGGTCCACCTAAAAATATCTGTGTTCTAGTATACCAAACAAGACATAGCAATGTTAAAAAATTCTGGTCCCATGATAATTTATAGTTCAATTTAGTTTCTGAATGCCAAAATAAATGATAATCATTAAATGAAACAACTAAAACTATTTGGTGCTCAAAGGAAAACAATACAATGAACATATTTTTGGGGTAAATCAGAAACAGGAGATATAGTCATGAATATAAACTGCTTTCTTTTTAATTAGGTAAGTCCAGAATTCCAAAATTTTTTAGATGAACAATATTAAGCATAGCAAAAATTATGGATATAAATGACTTCAAGGAATGTCAGCCTAAGTTATTGACTTTTAAATTACCATAAAAATGACATGACAGTCATCTAATATAGTAGGGTAAAAATCCTGCAAGAGCTGATTTAATGAGTGACATAATTTATTAAAAACTGTCTGTAGACCATATTTTAAAAGTTATTACTAAATGCACAAAACCAGCTTCTCCCTTCCTAGCAGAATACAAAATACTCCTGCAATCTTCAATACATCATTGGACCACTCTGCAAATTCCTTTTTCATACTTGTTGCCAATATAACCTTTAGCCGAGTTCTGTGTCTAAGTTAATGAAGTTCCACTGTGCCGTAACAAAATGAAAAGTACTGAGTTCTCAAAAAGACTTTTTATCCTTGATGGGCCCAGGATATTTATAAGGCACCAAATCATTTCCTTGCCTCTAAAAAATCTGTCTTTCCCTTGGCAACTGTTCAGCATTCTAATTGGAATAAACACATAGACTACTAATGCACACCACTTAAACCTGCAGTCAGTTTTGAGAAGACAGCTTGAGGGATCATCTTTCGGGCTACAAAATTAGACCAGGGAGGGGGCTCCAGTGATGACCCTATCTTATACCCTTAAGGATACAGACTAGTATCACATCTGAATATCATTTGCCATGGTTTTTTTTTTCTTACTACAGTTTCTAACAAACAACCATACACTGAGCGATAGGTTAGACAAAATACATTCCAGAATATTTATCTTTTGCATGGAATAAATAGAAATATCACTAGTAGTTTTTTTGTCTGCACTTTGCTTCTGTTTCATGGCTGCTACAAAAATGATAGATGGTCATGAAACTTGAACATAGAGGAATTATGCTAAATTAATATCATTTTTTCCTTTACTCTGGACAAAACATCTCATCCTCCACTTAACATCTGTTTTCTGCATATATGAGAATTTCCTCAGATGCCAGAATGAAAAGTCTGCATATGTATTTTGGTTTTCTGTTTAAAATCACAATCTGAGACGACATTCCAGTGTTAGGATATAAATCAGAACTTCATCACTCTACTTAACAAAAATTTTACTAATTTTCCCATTAGTAAACATTACTGATTATTTTTAAAAATTAACCTACATTTTTTCAGATCAATTTCCTCTAAGTTCTTAACCAGTTTACTTGCTACCTAAGTGGTAGGATGACCACTGTTGTCTTTAAAACCCTCAAGTCCTACTCTAGAATATATTTTGGATCATGTTTAACATGGTGTGCAAAATGGGCCATCGAGCTACAGAGGCAGGCAGCATGGCTTGCCACTGAGTCTCATGGATTCTGACTGGGGTCTGGTTGAGTGGTCTGAAGCATCACTGTGTGGATCAAGAAGCATGGCCATGACCCACTTGAACGACCAATCGTGCAAGGCTATAGGCCGCTGACTTACAGGTTCATATTTGGTGACACAAACACACTTTCTTTGCTAAGCACCTTTAAAGAGACGGTGCATGATAACTGTCATATGTTCATTTAAATAGAAAAAGTCCTGCAATGTGTAAAGCATACATACGTACTTTCCCATGAAAATAAAACTGCTCCAAAAATTGCTATGCCTCCTTGCACAAAATAAGAGACAAATAACTGCTGAGTCTTCTCTGGGAAGCTTATGTAACCTATATTTACAAATGTTTTACCCTGAGGCAAACAGCTTGAGAATTTAGTAGACATTCTCCAGAGTACCCCCCAATTTTTCCAACTGTGATGTTAGTCTGGCTATCAAAGAGCTGCAGAAAGTACCTTGCTATCCATTACAGCCCCCAACGCCATCTGATTAAAAAAGTGGCAGATCGCAAAAACTAAGAATTCAGAGCTACGGCCAAGAAGAACATTAAATAAACAACCACTGCCACCAACCTTTGGTTGGGCCTCTGGCGCTGTCACCTTGACGACTTTGTTGCGATTTATCATTTGCTTCACCCATCTTTCTACTTGGACGTTGAATTTCATGAAAACCACATAGCCAAAGTAAGCTGTCAAGAGAAGCAAGCTCTCCCACCACATGATAAAGTTATCCAGGAAAAATATGATCAGCATGATTAAGTCAATGATGTAGAAGGACACATCCCGAAAGAGCGGCCACCAAGTCAGGTTTAAGATTTCTCTTGAAAATAGAGCACACATGCCAATGACAAAGAGGATATTGAACACAGCTGAGCCCACGATTGTGCCAATGCCAACATTGCTGTGAGCAATGAACACCCCTATGAGAGACGTGAAAAGTTCTGGCGCTGAGCCCCCGGCAGCCATAAAGGTGGCTCCAGCCACATCATCAGAGATGCCCAGTTTTTCGGTGATGACAGTCAACGAGGGAACAAAGAACTCATCACAGACAATGGCTAAGGCTATGAACATGTAGATCATCCCAATGACATGGAGAATGATGGCGCCTTTTCTTCGTTGCTCGAGGGAAAAGATGTCTCTGGGGTAGTCTCCTTGGGCATGATCTGTACTATTCTCAGATATGCCTTCCTGAGAAAGAGCTGGCTGTGGAGTATAATCTCGAATCTTGTCATTTAAATCTAAGAGAGTTCTTTCGTGGTAACCGTGTGCTGCCCCGGGGCCACTTGCACCACCGACCTCTCCTGTGCTCTGGGTCTCTGTCTCAGAAAAGGCACTGATTGAAAACGGGACAGTGCTAATGGCTACCAGGCCCAGGAAAAGGCCTAGGATTCGAATCAACTTCAGTTTTTTCCTGACATTATAATGTCTCCTGCAGCCAGACGGTGACTTATCTGAATACCATTTCTCAAGGAAAGAGATGGTGGCGCTTTGGTGCAGATCCATCCTGGGTCTTCTGGTGGATGTGATGGTTCTAAATTTGTGGACTCAACCAGATGGTTCTTTCATACTTTTCTTTACAGGTAACAGTGCTTGCAAGGTGCTTCCACAATCAGGGATTCTGAGGCTTCACAGGAAATATTTTCAACATTTATGCTTAAATAAAAATAAAAACAAGGATACGTGAATCATAAAATCATGTTTTTTTTTTCTTACAAAACAATTTGGCAGTTATGAAAAAAATCCTATCCTATAGCCAGCCATGTGACCTTGGGTTAAATTCCTTAATTCTTCTGTGCTTCAGTTTCCCCATCTCAAAAATTAGGACAATTACAGCACCTACCACCAAGGAATGCTTTGAGGATGGGTTAAAAGATATGAAGCATTAAGAGTAGGATGTGACATATTAGGCATTTATTATGTGTGTACAAAGGCAAACATTTGGGTAAATACATAGACTACATATTTGTGTGTCTTAAATTAAAAAAAATGTTATAGATGTATATGAAAATCTCTGTTTATCCCACCTTAAATCATGTAACAAATAGTATCCCGGTGCTCAAAAAGGTATCACTTCCTTTAGAATTATCTACATATTTGACAACCAAACCATTGCCTTATCTTTTGGTCCAATTATATAATTCCAGTTGCAGGCACACTTTTCGGATTTAATCTGTCACTTGGAAAGGGCTGAGTGCTGGAGGATCAGCACTCTTTTTCTGGACACTTAATACTCTCAGGCTCTTATTTTTCATGAAAACCCTCTCCTGTATATCAAATACAGATAAGAAGCCCTTTAAAATTTTAAGTTTAAAAGAATGTTCTGATGATGTGAACAAACCGTCTTCCCTAAATATCTAGATATTATTTTCAGCTAAAGCTTAAAACAAACAAACAAAAAAACCTTTAGTCATATTTAAAATACACAACTTGGTAAATCAAACAACTCCTAACAAGTAGGCTATTTCAAGAGATCAAATAAGTATTTCATAAATAATATGCATGTTGCAGTAATACCTCTGTCCACAAAAATCTGCCCAAAATAGCCCTGACACTGACCCTCTAGTAGGTTAGACAGCCAAGCAGTTTTCATTCTCAGCCTCTACAGAGAAGGGTGAAATACCTAGATATGACAGTTGACATTCTTAAGATTCCTCTTTTTAATTTCTTTAAAAAACGGTTTTGATTGAGGGGGGTGGTTTTTTTCTTTCGCTGAGATCACCTCAGGTGTAAAACAAGCTAATTAAACACGCGCCAGCTATACACTGAGATTAGCTGGAACTCAGGTTTGCAGAGGGAGCCCAAACCAGCCCAGGCTGAGATGCTGTTCCTCCTGAGATAAACCTAACCCCGCACAGATTCCCGGCTGGCTGGCAGATGTCTATGCTTAGCGTGAACGAGTAAGCGACTCACTGCGCTCCGGGGATTGTCACAATGCTGGGCCGGGGCAAACAGCACGGACGGACACAACTCCCAGGGTGCGCTATCGGCTCCAGCCGGAGCCTGACTCGACCTGCAAACCCACAGCTCCGCTCCACGCGAGCTGCCTCCGCCAGCCAAGTGCACCCCCAGCCGCGCCCCAACTTTGCCTTGTGTGGTCCCAAACTTTCCCTAGTGGGTTCACAGGAAAATAAAACTAAAGGACAGACGCCTTACTAAAGAACCGGGAGCTGGGATGGGGCTTGGCCGGCATCTCCCAGAATCGCTGGTGAAGGGGAGAGCCCCTCTTAGCGCCTCCCCGACAGCAGGCCCCCCACTACCCGGAGCCGGAAGCAGGGCGGTTTGGGTGGGAGAAGCAGGGGGAGCTCAGAAGCCGCACCCGGCAGCGGAGAGAGTTGGCTAACTCCTTTCGGGGCCTGGGGCGCCCACGTCCACCGCGAAGCCACCTGTGAGTCTGCCGCCAGATGCACACCATCAGGATCCAGGGACCCCGACCTCTGCAGCTCCCGAGCCCGGCCGCTGGTCTGGGTTTGGCCGCCCGCACTTACCGGGATCCGCCAGGAAGACACGGCGGGGACCCGAGCGCGGCCCGCCGCTCCGGTCCTCCGCCTCCTCCGGCCCTCCGCCTCCTCGCTCCGAGGCCCGGGCTGCGGCTCGCGCTCGCCTCCGCTCTCGCCGTCCGGGGCTGGGCTCGGGAGGAGACTGAGCCGCCGCGAGCCCCGCGCGCCGCCTCTGGTGCTGCCGGGCCCCCTCCGGCCCCTCCCTCTCGCCTCTGCGCGGGGAGCGTGGCCGCAGCGCGCTCGGCTCCCGCGCCCTCTGCTCCACGCCTCCTGGGCACAGAGGCGACGCCAGCTGCCGTCTCTTAGGAGATTTCTCCGCAGTGGGGACAGGGGTCAGGATTTGCAGACGGGCAAGGACGAAGAGGAGAAATCATACAGGTCGGTGACGCGCCTGACTCCTTAGACCTGAAAGTATTGCCAACTTTGGGGTCATCTCTGCCAGGCCCCTTCTTTCCATTTATCTGCAGAAAGTGCCATCAGTCACATATTTCTTTAGGAGGCGATGTAATGTTTAATGATGATCAAGACGATCACTGAAAAGGCAGGGAGGCCTGCAGGGTTGTGTGTCCTGGCCCAGGGTTTTTGAAGTCTCGGCTTTGGCTGGTTGGGACCCTGAAGAATCATTAGTCTTGCAGGCTGACCTTTAATTTTGTGCCTGATGAAGCTGAGACCCAAGACTGTCATTTTGAGTCATAGACAGTGTTCATATGCTGGCCTCCGGACTTCGTGCCCAGAGCTTTTCCCTGCCCTGGCAGGAAAACAAGACTCCCTAGACCACAAGAAATTGAGTCAGGCTTGTTGGGGACTGGAGGCAAAATCTGGGCCGAAGAGTGGGCAAAGATGAGACAGGCCAGCTACTGGCGGAGGCCCCATTTACCTGACCCTTTGATAACCGCCAGAACTGCCAAGAGATACTCACTAGGAGAAACCTTTCATCAGAAGTTTTCCTGCTCTCCTTACCCTCCACTCTCTTCCTATTTTCCACTTAGGGTTTCTTCATGCTTTCCTGGGACTAGAGGAAACGTCGGTCGTGTCTGGAAAATGCACCACTTTTGACTTTGGGTAAAACTTTATACTCAGACCTCTACACGTCCCTGATAAGTCAAGAGAAGCCTTGAGAAACTTGAAATCTCTTTTTCTCCCACCAAAGTCAGGCATTGAAGATTATTATCTTGCTAAGGATTTAAGGTCTTATTCTGGAAGTCATTGTGTGAATTTTTAATATTTGCCTGTTATTTTGGAAGATTCCAGACAGTTACAAATAGGACAGTATAATGAACCTCCAATGGGGCCATCACCCTCCTTGAACAACAGTCAACTCACTGCCAATCATATTTCATTTATACCCATTTTCTCCATGCCATCATTTTAAAGCAAATCCCAGATATTGTATCATTTTAATTGTAGATATTTACAGAAATCAAGGAAGCTATCAATCACTTCCAGATTATGTCAGGAAGACTAAGGAATCAATTGAAATAGGCTCCCCCTAGACAAGGATGGATCAATCTGAGCACCAAAAATTGATAATAATTGCAATTGTTTCAAATGTATCAAGTATGATTATATCTGTAAGTTCATAATGATTCTATAGTAACTCTATAGGTCACTGTTGATGGGTAAGAAGGAATGAACTCATTATTTTGAAATTGTTTTAGAAAAAAGAAAACAATCATGGATTTAATTTGCGTTTTCCATACAAATTGGACTTCAGGGTAACCAATTGTGTGTGCTAAGTCCCTTCAGTCCTGTCTGACTCTTTGCAACCCTATGGACTGTAACCCACCAGGCTCCTCTGTCCATGGGATTCTCCAGGCAAGAATACTGGAGTGGATTGTCATGCCCTCCTCCAGGGGATCTTCCTGACCCGGGGATGGAACCCAAGCCCCCTGCGCTGGGAGCACAGAGTCTTAGCCACTGGACCACTGTGGAAGTTCCACATCATTGGAATTTTTTACAGGAAGAAGTGGCTCTAGGGTTATAGTAATAATAAACAACTTTACATTGTTTTTGACTTGACATTTAGTCTAAAGGAAAACAAAATTCTACTAACTTTTCTTAAGGGCAAAGTGAAAGAAAGAAAACTGAGTGAGCCAGGGAGTTGTGGGCAACAAAAGTAAAGATGAAGTATTTATATTTTACTTTGTCAGTTTAACCATCTCTTTTTTCCCTCTCTTCTAACACGATACTGTTTCTCCTACTTTCTATTATAATTTCTGGCTTTTCTGTTATCAATATCTATAGGCAATAAAACACAAATGAAGGATTCAATGTGCACAAAAGCATAGTTCCCAACCGTGACTGTTGTTAAACTTTAGAATCGATGGGTGATAGTTTTAAAAGACTCCCGACAATGACCTCCTATTTTCCCCCTTATTATGAGCTCCTTGAGGGCAAGAATCAGTATCATGTATTTTCCAGCATCAAGCACAGTGCTTGACATCCATTCAGCACATAGCTGTGGAATGAATTAATGAGTTGCAGCAAATGCAGTTCATTTAAGGAGAGTGGGCCAATCAGAAGGGTAAAGGCTATACAGCAGTAACAAGGAGCTCAGAAAATCACGGTGACTTAAGACAACAAAGGTCTCTGTTTCTCATTCACACTACCTGTGCTCTGTGAATTTTGCTGAGTCATCCTCATGCCTGTCTCCAAGTTGGTCACTATCTAGAACACTGCCAGTTGCTGTCACAAAGAAAAGATACATGGCAAATCTTGTACTTGCTTCAGTTTGGAAGTGATGCATTGAGGCTACTCTCACTTCTCTAACTAAAGCAAAAAGCATGGCCATATCTATCTTCAAGGAAGCAAGAAAGTACAGTTACACTATGTGATTGGGAGAAGAATGGTAAGATTTAGTGGCCAGCACTAATGACTGCCATGATGGAGCCAAAAAAAAAAAAAAAAAGAGAGAGAGAACTAACATTTATTATGCACCTATCATGAACTAGAAGTTTTCACCTATCTCTTCTCAATCTCATGAGTTTTTGCACTCTTACTAGTCCC